GTTCGGATTCGGTACATACCTACACACCCACCCATACCCACACCCACGCACCACACCCACCCACTCCCACCCACACCCACATCCACACCCCACACCCACACCCCACACCTCACACCCCACACCCACACTATGACACGAGGAACTGATTGAAAAAATATTTTGTTCATTTTTCCCTGTTGTTTTTTTTTATTGTTATTTTGAAGCTGAATATTATTGAAAAGAAAAATTTTCTTTTATAGATTATGGCACACGCAATACCAAAGAAATATAAAAAAACAGATGATTTATCATTGAATCAATTATCAATTCAACCAAACGATGATGAAAATAAAGAAAGTATAACATTGATTTGGTTTGATCCAAATATTGGATCACATGAAGATACTGAAAAAACAAAAGAACAACTTCGATTTATCAATGACTTAGTCATTTTCAAGACTGATCTTGAAGACTGTGTCACATTTATTCAATCGATCGATAAAGAAAAAATCTTCTCAATTACATCAGGAAAAAAAGCATCACAAATCTTATCTCGAATAATTTCTTGTCCTCAAATTGATTCAATATTTATTTTTTGTATGAAAAAAGAACGTTATGAATATTTATTAAATGAATATTCAAAAATTGTTGATATTTATGTTGAACTTAATAATTTATGTCAATCAATTAGAGAACAAGTGAATCTTGTAAACAAACAAATTCAAACTTTTTCATTTTTTGATCAACATGAAAAATCAACGAAAGATTTATCCAAAGAATCAGCAACATTTCTTTGGTTTCAACTATTTAATTATGTCATCGCTCGTCTTCCACGAAACGAACAAGCAAAACAACAAATGATTCAAATATGTAAAGATTATTATCGTGGAAATAAAAAAGAAATCGAATTAATTAAAGAATTCGAACAAACATATCGATCTAAAGATGCTATCCGTTGGTATTCGAAACAATCATTTGTGTATAAATTGATCAATAAAGCATTAAGAATAGAAGATGTAGATCTTCTATACACGTTTCGATTCTTTATTGGTGATCTTTCTCAAAATCTTCAACAAGAACACGAGAAGATTTTATCATCCAAAGAAAAAATCCTTAATGTTTATCGTGGAATTAAACTCGATAAGAAAGAATTTGATAAATTAAAAGAAAACCAAACTAAACTCATTTCAACCAATGGATATTTATCAACGAGTCGACGAAAATCTTTAGCATTAAGTTTTGCAATGAAACCAACAAAAAGACTAGATGTTATTCCAATTCTATTTCATATTCAATGTGATATTGAACAAAGTCATAAGAATATCATTTTTGCCGATATTAGTCAATTTAGTGATTATCCAGATGAAGAAGAAGTATTGTTTGATATAGGTGCTTGTTTTCTTATAGAATCCATTGACGAACAAGAATCATTACAAATCATTAAAATGAATCTTTCAAATGAAGGACAAAAAATAACGAAAGGTTATCTTGAATTAACACGACAAGAGACAGAAGAATTGAGTGTTCCGATCGTTTTTGGTAGATTATTGTGCAATTTAGGTGACTACGGTAAATCACAAAAATATTTTGAACAATTATTGAAAGATTCAGAGGATGAAGATCGTGCTTGGATTGAATTTAATATTGGTCGAGCTCATGATTTCAAAGGTGAATGGAATGAAGCTCGAAAATATTTTTATCATGCTTACGATCAAATGATAAACAGTAAACCACCAAGAATCAAAGATTCTGCTCATGTTCTTAATTACCTTGGTAACATTCTCTGTTATCAAGGAAAGTACGATGAAGCTCTTGATTATCATCAACGAGCATTAGAAATTCGAGAGAAATTTCATCCATCTGGTCATATCGACACTGCTACAAGTCTTTCTAATATCGGTAATATTCTGTGTAAACAAGGAAGGTATAACGAAGCTCTCAATAATCATGAAAGAGCTTTGAAAATGCGAGAGAAGTTTTATTCATCTGACCATGTGGAAATTGCCAGAAGTTTCAACAATATCGGTCGCGTTCTGTATGATCAAGGAAAAGCCAATGAAGCGCTCCCTCATTACCAGCGAGCACTGAAGATTTACAAGGAACTTTTACCATGTGGTCATATTCATATCGCTAGAAGCTTTAACAATATCGGTAAAATTCTCGGCGATCAAGGAAGGTACGATGAAGCCCTCGATTATCATCTACAAGCGTTGAAAATTTGAGAACAATTTTATCCATCTGGTCATGTGGAAGTAGCTAATAGCTTGAAGAAGATTGGTCTTACTCTCAAAAATCAAGGAAAGTATAAGGAAGCTCTCGATTATCATCAACGAGCATTGAATATTTACGAGAAGTTTAATCCAACCGGTTATGCCGATATCGGTGAGACCTTGCATAACATTGGTGTTTGTTATGAATATCTGAACAAGCAAAACATAGCACTTGACTACTATAAAAGAGCATTGAAAATCTGTAAGAATTTTCTTCCTGTTGACCATCCAGATCGAGAGAGAATCGAAAGAAAGATTCATCAACTTACCGAAAAAAAATGAACTCATGAAATGTCAGACAAAAGAATTAACTGTCATCAGCGATGTAACGATTTCTTTTTCTGTTTGAAATAGTTGTTTGTAATTTTGAATATTCCAGATTTTTCCTATTATTGTTTCTAATAATCATTTGGGTCAATGTCGAACTTGTTTCAGTATACAATGAGCGACATTACGATAAGACTTTTACAAGATCTGATAAAAACTTATTTTCTTTTAAGGGTGTGAGCGTGGATGTGAATGTTTGAATTT